CGTCCTCCTTAATCCATATGCATTGACCTTATAGAGTCGTCTCAAGGTCCATCCACTATGATGAACATTGACGAACACCAGCAAACACCAGCGAAAATCGATCCAGCACCATGGCCCCTGTCCAAATTGACCGTGACAGCCTGTGACTCGTTTTGGAGCAGATGGAACATCATTCATAGCCTCTGGTAGGTCGATCGACTTTCGGTGTGCCCACCCGACCACCCCTGCTGAGACCATGCTGCACCACTTGAAACAGTGTTCGTACAATCGAAACCTCGTTCCCTGCGCTCAGGTAGATAGGTACAGGTCCATACAATATGGGGAATGACAGCCAACACAGACGAACACCAGCGAACATCAACCCCTTACCAAAGCCCTTATCCAGACTGTGTCCGAATGCTGGAAGACCCTTGGAACTGGTTCAAGCACATTGATCATCATTCCCAGATTCTTGTATTTCTATATTACTGCATGTATTACAATGAAATAGAATAGAGAATCTACATCAGATAGTATACCAGTATGCCCACCAGGCCTAACATACATCATGTAACATACCAATGTTCCTGTCTGACCAATCCCCCTCGTGGCACACTGGACCACTTGAAGTGGTGTTCGTCCCCCCTAGAACCACCTCAATCGACCTTATTTTGACATTCACAGGTCCGTATAGCAGGACAAACACCGACAAACACTGACGAACATTGACGAACATTGATCCAGAACTGAAGCCCCTGTCCACATTGATTGGGACACCCTGAGACCCGTTTTGAGTGCACTAACCATCTTTCCCTGACTCTGCTAGGTCTATGGCATGTCTTTTAATACAAATAAAATACATAGTATAACATACCAATGTTCCTGTCTGACCACTCCCCCTCGGGGCATGCCAGATCGCTTGAAGTGGTGTTCGTCCCCCATAGGACCACTTCAATCGACCTTATTTTGACATTCACAGGTCCACTACAGCAGGATGAACACCAACAAACACTGACAAACATCAACGAACATTGATCCAGAACCGAAGCCCCTGTCCACATTGACTGGGACACCCTGAGACCTGTTTTGAGTGCACTAACCATCTTTCCCTGACTCTGCTAGGTCTATGGCATGTCTTGTAATACAAATAAAATACATAACCATCTTTCCCTTTCCATGACTCTCCTACATCTATTGCACGTCTGGTAATACAGCTAAAATACATCAGATAATATACCCAACTATGCTATGCAGATTTGTATTTTTCGAAGATGTTAAAGAGTTCGCATACCGGTCCACGATCCCACCATGAACCCGTCTCCAGTTCTTTTTCGGCATCCATTACCTGAAGGGCCTTCTTGAGATGCAATATTATTTTCTTCGCTGCTTCCGACTCATTGGCTATCTCTTTCCTCATGTTATCCCTCTCATCCATGGCAGGCATATGATCCGCATCTTCGGCCGACTTGTACTTTCCTTTCTTGCTCTCTATCAGTGAAATCATGGCCAGCAGTGGCCTGTGGTAAAATGTCCCTGGTGAAGGGAAATATTTGCTGGGAACATGTATTTTATAGATATGACATATGATGTACTCGTTCTGTCCTTCGCCATCATCGGAAGGGCCAGTACCATCCATACGATGATGCGATGTATTGCTGGATGCACTGCGTTAGTGCCTGCCAGCCCACGCATGGTCTGTTTGCCTTCAGGAACCTTTGAGCAGTCATAATTGATTGCGATCTCCGTGAGATGCATGGTGGAATATGAAAGGAAATGACCCCCGGACGTGAGGCCATTCTGTGGAGTGTACACCATGTGGTTAGCCCTGGGAGGCTGAATCCTGTTAGGGTGTCATTAATCATAAGAGCACGCTCGGGAATTGGGAATAAAAAATCATACAGAGTATCTCCACGTTGAAGATGAATGGTCCTGAGAGGATACTTGTGGAACTTAAGATTGACGTTGTCAGCAAAAATATCATCCCAGGCCTTGAATAGATTCTCTCTGCGTGCATCCTGACTTCCAGGGGTGTCAAAATAACCCCATATCTTGCTGCCGGACTGTACGGTGATGTATGTGCATAGCCCCGCCGCATCATGGTGAGGGTATGTGACAAAACCCCCATGTGTCAGTAGATCCCATCCACGAAGTCGTTTGACATCCCCCAAGACCACCTGCACGCCATAATATGATTTTCCCGCGTTCTTACCAGAATGGGGGAGATAAACGTCGTTCATGGTCATGGTCTTTGCATTTACATTGTCGGATAGTTGCCTGGTGCATTCTTCAGCATCCAAAGAATCTTAATACGAGTTCCAATCGACGACATACCTGAGGAATATGGGAACCTCAGGCTGGGTATTTGGGAAGTCAAGGAGGTTCATGCATGTATTTTCATCGTCTGCAAGCTCAATGAATTTTACTCTGCTGAGCACTTCAAAAACTTTGCTCATGTCTGGCCCCCCCTTTGCCTCCTGCTGCTCTGCATGCTTTAATGCATCTAATTACCTTTAGTGATATGAATTTTAGCGATACGATGATATCCATACCTTGAACGACGACTTCCTGTGATATCGTCAGGTGGAAGAAGCGAATGTCTTCACAAGTGAAGTCGAGGGGTGGATTATTCAGCTTCCATCCCCTGACCAACACTGCACATCCCCTTGACAGTGAATCGCTGATGTTGTCGATTAGCTGTGCGAGTGAGCCCTTGTCCCCATCATACTTCAGCTCCACTAGCATCGTCCACCCATGTCCATACTGGTATTCAGTGGCAGATACGGCCTTGGACATGTACTCGACCGCATCACAGTCCTATGGTTGTCATTTATCAGCTCCTAGATTCAAAGGTTCTATCAAATTTACATACCACTTTACTGAACCATGGAGCATATGTTCTTATATCCAATGATTCCCAATCGATCACCTTCGTATCCGGTGGGCAGGTGATTTGATCGAGGAAAGGAACCCACTCAGCGATGGGTTTGGCATCTTCAGCTGTAAATACGATCAGGACCTTGAAGAATAGGAAAGAAATCGAAGTGCTTACTCCTCTGTCTTTTTTTCTTGTTCGTGCTGCAGTGACCTTCTGGTTTCAACACCTCCTTTCCTTTGCCCTTTCTGCTTGCTGATGTGGATGAAATCGGGGCACCCTTGACTTCCTCATCATCCAATTTCCTCGATCCAGTCCCACCTACATCCCTTGCCTTTCTCTTCCGCAATCAGCTACCAGCTTCTTGCATAGGGACTGCATCCTCTGCAGGTGGCTTTTGAGCCCTGCCAATGACACCTTCGCCCTGCTTCTCCAAATCCTGTCATCATCAGCATGTATTCTCAGAGTTTTGTAGATCGCACACTTACCTGGGATTTGGATTTGGGATTGGAAAATTGCATCCCCATGAGCCACAGGATGTCAGCATTCGTTGGGGGGTGTTGGAATCCGATTCTGCGAAATTCCACTTCCATGGATGTGAGGTAGTGGGGATAGGATGTATCATTAGCCAGCAGCCGGATCCCATTGATGGGGCAAGGTGCAATCATGCATTCATCTCCTGCAACAGTAAGATGAAGAGTGTCTTTGGGATCCCATCGAACCCAACCGCTTCTACCAAAGATATACATATCGTTTGGAGCTAAGTAAATAGTACCCTGACGCTCCCTCATGCCACCAGCATGTGGAATTGCGCTGGAATCTTTGACCAAGCGGAAACTGACAGGAAACATTTTAACTGGGTAGATTGGCTGGATCGTGGAAGCCTGAAATTGCGATGATGCCATTTCGAGTAGGATGTGAGCGGTCTATCGTGGTGGAGGTGAGAAATAGTGCAAATCGAAGGGTCAGATCAAACTTTGATCTGTGACCTGCCAAATATGGAACACGTGTGCTACACATTGATAATGATACCATGAACTATGCCATAAATGTTACTAATGCCATGAATAGGTAGGTAGGACGACTCGTATTCACATTGGGTGATTGGCCCAGTGATCTAATGGTCTGATAGAGGCTATGGCTATGTGGACCCACCCCCCTCGCTCTCTCTGATAAGTATGCTGGACCGCTTTAAATGGTGTTCATCACCCCTTCATCACCCTGACATCATTCCCATTGACCTTATAGGGATGTTTCCAGGTCCATACAACATGTCAAACACTGCCAAACACTGGTGAACACCCGCAAACATCAGTCCAGCACTGAAGCCCCTGTCCACATTGACTTGGCCAGCCTTCGACTTGTCTCAAGTCCACAAATCATCTCTCCCGGACTCCAATAGGTCTGTTCCATTGCATAGAATACAAAAGAACTGTATCAGATGATATACAAGTGCACCCTCCTGACCACCTTCTCTCAGAGGATGCTGGATGCTGGACCACTTAGAATGGGGGTTCGTCCCTTAGACCCCATTTCAATTGACCTTGTAGAGAGACATTCTGGGTCCATACGACATGATGAATGCTGACAAACATGGGCGAACACCCGCGAACATCAGTCCAGCACTGAAGCCCTTGTCCACACTGACTGGGCCACCTTTGCACTTGTTGTGAGCCCACGATTCATCTCTACCAGACTCTGATGTGTTTATAGTAGTGAATGCAATACGAGTAAACCACACGAGATAATATACATACCCCGAGGGCATTATTATTACAAAGTGGCAATGATAAATTGGGGGGAATGATGCTGGAAGTACTGCTGGAGGCCAGCATCATATACATGGATTTAATAATACATAGCAAGAGAGGGAGATGTCCCAACTTTACAGAATTGAATTGCAGCCGATGATACAACACACAAGGGAGGCTAGGGTGGTTGACATTGGGGAGATTAACGAGTACTCTAAAGAGTGTCATGACACACAGGGGTTGATAGGATTTGGTGGGTAATGGGTAGTGATGATATACAACAAAGTTGAGATTGTACTGACTACATGTTCACTATGTATCATCTCTCAATGGTATCAGAAAGGCTCAAATTGTCGCATATAAAATAATTATGTATGTTCAGCAGAATGATTTTCATTACAATATTTGTGATATATCATAAATAGTTCTCCAACATATCTCACTTTGTTTTGGAATTAACAATCTGCTTTTTTGTGAGCAGAAAGTTCAAAGGGGTAGGAAGTATTTACTTAGCCCAAATATCGTATTGCAATGATGAATTGTGTTCCAAAGCTTGTCTGCGAAACATTCTGCCTTTCATCTTTCAACGAAAAATCGAATCAGATATAAAGTCTTTCCACATGAGAATCATAGAGCAAAACATCAAAAATTATTTCTGCATGAAATATTGAGAATATTATTACATGTTCCATGCTGTCATTGTCATCATGTGTGTGGTGGTGGCATGGCCATCATCATTCTCGTTGTCATCTGTAAAGCATCAGGACTCACTGTGCTCCACTTCATCTGGTGGCCAGACTGATGCCAAGCATCTTCCATCTGAGGCATGATCCTTTTCTTACATTGCACCGGAGGAGGGGTAATCTTGGTTGGGTGGACTGAGTTGGTTCCTCCATGATATCATCATCCATTATACCATGCACTGCGCATTGTCATTTGCATGGTGGTGGTGGTGGCATGGCCATCATCATTCTCATTGTCATCTGTAAAGCATCAAGACTCACTGTGTTCCACTTCACCTGGTGGCCAGATTGATGCCAAGCATCTTGCATCTGGGGTTGAATCCTTTTCTAACATTTTGCTGGAGGAAGGATAATCTTGGTTGGGTAGACTGAGTGAGTTCCACCACCACAGCATCATCCATTATACCATGCACTGTGCATTGTCATTTGCATGGTGGTGGTGGTTGCATGGCCATCATCATTCTCAATGTCATTTGTAAAGCATCTGGATGCACTATGTTCCACTTCACCTTCTGGCCAGATTGATGCCAAGCATCTTGCATCTGAGGTTGAATCCTTTTCTAACATTTTTCCAGAGGAAGGGTAATCTTGGTTGTGTTCCACCTCACCTTTTGGCCAGATTGATGCTGAGCATCTGGAATCTGAGGTTGAATCCTTTTCTAACATTTCGCCAGAGGAAGGGTAATCTTGGTTGTGTTCCACCTCATCTTCTGGCCAGACTGATGCTGAGCATCTGGCATCTGAGTTTGAATCCTTTTCTAACATTCTGCCAGAGGACGGGTAATCTTGGTTGTGTTCCACCTCACCTTGTTGCCAGAATGATGCCAAGCATCTGGCATCTGTGGTTGAATCCTTTTCTTACATTGCACCAGAGGAAGGGGAATCTTGGTTGGGTAGACTGAGTGGTTTCCTCCATGACATCATCATCTGCTATATCACACACTGTGCTGTGATCTGCAGTGTCATACAAAGACATGTTTTCTTCTTCTGAGTCATCACATAGGTTCTTGTGCTGCTGTGCACTTCATATCCACTTCAGGCAGACCAGATTTGACACAAAACTGTAATTTTCTTGCAGCCTTTAAACCCACCTTAGGCTGCCTACAAGACTTGAGCAGCACACAAGCTGAAGCCAATGTCTTCACTCCACTTCTGCCTCTTGGCAGTAAGCTGTGTTTAAAGAAGAGCTGTAGAGGGAGGCATGTGCACTTGGTATAGGGAGGCTCAGACCCTGCATGGGACAACCACTGGCAGGAGCAGCAGGATGAGGATGAGGGGGGAGCCATAAATGCAATTACAAACACTGCAAAATTAGTTCCATCACCACCCACAGGCCAATATATCCATGCACCCCCATCTCAAAATTGGCCACTCATTTTGCCAGATACTCAGATGACACTCAGATGGTAGTATGATCAGCTTGGCATGATGTAGCAATGCATTTGAAAGCAATGGCAGTCACAAGATCTACATCTATTTATACAGTAGTCCACTACTTAATATTACATGCTGTGTGTATTGAATGACCTGTGTTCAAAGACTCCTTTGTGCCTCTCAAAGGGACCGATTCAATATCTTAGAACAATGTAACCACAAGCATCAATATATGTTGCCTCAACTCAATACAGGCATTCATGCTCTCTTTCAGTTATAATGCATGGAAATAAATTCAGTACTACAATTACAACAGGCATCAAGTACAGGCATCCATACACCAGGATGCTTGAGTCAAGAGATCATGGGCAAGTAGGTTGAGTGGCAGGCAAAGCCTTGAAAGTGATGGGAGTCAGAGAACATTTAAATTTGTTTACTTTTTTTTAATTTTATTTAATTAATTTTTCCCTTACTTACAGAGCCTCAGTCAATCTTGTCCTCACTAAGGTATATCTTATCACTTATGGCTCTTGTAATAATATATTCAATACAGCAGAAGGCAACTATGCAACTCATCAATGAGTTGCAATGGTCTGCCACCAAAAAAAAATCACACTGCCATGCAAAGCACCTACCATGTATAGATAACAGCTCTGCATAGCCACAGATAGCCAGTATATATAGCATCCATTGTGAGAAAGGTATTTTTTCCCTCTCTTTCCCACCCTTCATTCTCTTTCTTCTGATCTCTCCCATCACCATCATCACACAGTAGGATGGCTTACACCTGCAGCACCTGTGGAGCAGAGTTTGACAACAAAAATCTACACAACACTCACAACGAAAAATGTGTCAGAGTATCAACCTTTACTGCACCTGATGGACAGCAGGTTACAGTGCACAGGACAGGCAGTGTATTCTTATGCTACTGTTCTGAGGCATCCTGCACTAAACCAACAGGGTATTCAACCACAGATGCCTTGAAAGCACACATGAAGAGGGCCTAGTAATCTAAACTGTCTGCACAGTTCCTGTCTGGAAAGTGCCTACTACTATAAAAGGAAATTCAAAAAGTGCCTAATAATCTACTTTCCAGAGTCCACCCCTGCCTCCAAGGGCAACCTGCCTTATATGGAAGGTTGCCTTCAGGCAACCTACACAGCCACTGAGGGCAACCTCCAAATAAGGAAGGTTGGCTGAAGGCAACCTGAGGGCAACCACCATATAAGGAAATAAATGCACAGCCACCAGAAAGCTGGTGAAGGGAAGAAACACAGCCACCAAGAGTCAAAAATAATAGTAAGCAACTGGTTGCTTATCTGAACCCAAGACGACTAGCAAGTAACTAGTGAAAAAAGCGGACATGGTAATGACTACTGACTACTGATGAGCAACTAGCAACTACTTAGAACAGACATGATGAATATGAGTAGCAAAAATAAGCAACTGGTCACTTATCTGGATGGAAGATGAGCAGTGAGTTGATTAGCAAAAAAGTGGACATGGCAATGACTACAGACTACCGACTACTGACAACAGACATAGGTGAATATAAGGGACTGGTTGGTTATTTGGAGGGAAGATGAGCAGCAAGGTGATTAGCAAAAAAAGCGGACTACCAAGGGATGTAGTAGTGACCAGGGACCACTGCCACTGATGAATGGCTAGCAAGCGATAATGACAGGGGATGGAGAATATGACTAGGGAAAAAATAAGGGAGCAGTTGGTTATGTGGACTACTGGACTATGGACTACTGAGTAGCAACAGCCACACCACGAACTGAAGAAAATAAGCAACTGGTTGCTTATCTGGACCCAAGATGACCAGCACATGATTAGCAAAAAAAGCGGACATAGTGATGACCAACGACTACCAATGACCGACTACAGACTACTGAATACCAAGCACTGACAGCAGACATGGACATGGGAGGAAGGATCCAATGCAGAAGTTTGTGGGAGGACACCCTTTTCAGGCCAGCCACTTGGCTTGTATGAGACGACACTGGAATTGCTCCAAGCTGGCTTGCATCTGATGAAGCCGAGGCTGAACATGAGTAGCAAAAATAAGTGACTGGTTGATTATCTGGACGAAAAGATGAGCAGGGCGTTGATTAGCAAAAAAGAAGACTACACACCTACCTGACCACTGACCGACTTGAAGATGACTAGCAAAGAATAAGGGACTGAGGGACTAGGGAGCACAAAGTACCAAGTACTGATGGCTATGCCACTGACCACTGGAAAACAACTACTGACTAGGAGGGACCAAGGGTTGAGGGATGAACATAAGGGAAGAAAATAGGCAACTGGTTATGACTGGTTATCTGGAGGCAAGATACAGTGACTTGCAAAATTGATTCAATGTTTGCACATTTTGGGTTGTTTGTTGAATTTATCAAGAGCAAAGACAAATAAGACCAAAGTATAAGTTGATGACACAAACCAATTGCACAGGGCTATCCATCCAAAAAAAAAGAATATGTAATTTGAATCAGTATGCATAAAGGTATATACAATTTAAATTGCCATGTCATCGAATGAATTTTGGAAGTGTGTATCAGAGATACAGAAAGTGATAATTTTAATACTTTGTATGACCTCTGTTGGCTTTTATCACTGCTTGGATGCTTCTAGGCATACTTTCAATTAAATTCTGACACACCCCTGGGTCTATATTATTCCACACCACTGGCACTCTCTCCTGAACCTCCCAAACACCATTTGGCTGTGTTGAACACTACTAATAATCTACTTTCCAGACTCCACCCTCACCTCTGCATGAAACCTGCACAGCCACTGAATGAAACCTCACAGCCACTGAATGAAACCTCACAGCCACTGAATGAAACCTATCCTTCTGATCCAAGAAGGATGCCCCATCCTACCTGGAGTGCAACCTTTAGTCAGCAAGTGCAACCACCCAATGGGGAGAGTGCAACCCTTAGTCAGCAAGCACAACCTCCATTGCTCTTAAGATACATGTATCTTGCACTACAGGAGAGAGTGCAACCTTTAGTCAGTGAGCACAACCACCAAATGGGGAGAGCACAACCCTTAGTCAGCAAGTGCAACCACCTCATGTGATGCGTAACCAACCCATATAAGTAAATTGAGTATACATGCATACTAATTGATTAGGTTTAGCTTACACTAACCCAAGTTGACCTTTTCACAGGCAATCCATTGGAATTGACACTGAATCTTAGGTACTGTACTTGATGCAGGATATGCAAGTCACAGGTACAAAGCACTGACTGAGAGTGTGTTCTTGAACAAACAAATATGACATCTCACCAAACACTTCTAAGCAAGTTTAGTATACATGTATACTAATTCCACAATCTTGGATGAAATGGCATGGTTTTTAAGGCCAGGGGGGAGGCCAATATTCATTGCAAGATGACATGTGGAGATAATACAGGCAGGGTAAACATCATACAAGGTGTGTCCTTCAATCCTCATCCATTCTGTGCAAGTTACTCATCACATCATCAGCCCACTGTTGCAATGGACCCTCAACCACCTTCCAGACAACAGGATGATTGGCCCAGGTTCCCTTGATCCACATATAGATGTCATGATCAGTGGGGAAGTGTTGAAGGGCCTTTGCCCAATCCAAGAGAATGGCCAAATCTGTGGGATTAGCCCTAATAGAGTGATGGATTGTAAATAAGAGTGCCTCCAAGGTGGATTCCTTCAGATCAACTGGCACATTGGACTTTGAAGTAGCACTGAGGGCTTTGATGACAGTTGCCCACTGCTCAGGTGTGTGGGTAATCTGCTGCAGCTTATCTGCAGCTGTCACATTCACTAGCAGGTCATATCCACCATCTGGAGCTCCTGATGTCCTTGCTTGCTTCTTGTGGTGTGTATCAGTGTCAAAGCCATCATCAGGAGTCAGCCATTTATCTAGGGTGTGATATGCACATTAGCATACATGTATACTAAAATTGTCAATAAATTTTATTACCTGAACCAGATGGCCCACTGTGGGCAGAAGATTCATCATGCAAATTCAATGCATGATGTGATGCACTGTGGGGGGGCCAGCAATTGCTGCCTTTGTGCTAAAAATCCATCATTTTAGTATACATGTATATTAAAATTCATAATAAAGACACAAACCTGTTGATGTACTTGGGCCCTCACTGTCAGATCCATCATCAGGTTGGGGGAGGATGCAAGATGGCTTCTTCTTTGCAAACTTCCTCACATGCCTAGCCATCTTGTCTAGGGCATGCTGCTGCTCCAACCTTGCCTGTTCTGAATAGGCTATGGTTGATGTAGAATGCAGTGACTGCACTGCATATGGATCAAGCTCAGCTGTCATGTGTCCTCACCAGAATTCTTGAGCCTCAAGGGGATTCAGATATTGCAGGCTTTGGAAATCTGACCCAAAGCCAGCAGTCCCAAGAAGTTCTTGGATCATGGGGAATGGAGCTGTATGGGTCAGGTCTGCAGTGGGCTCCTGCAAGCACATGGTCTTTTTGACTGTTACTGCTGCAAGACTCTAAAATAATAATTTTAGTATACATGTATCTTAAATTTCAGAAATAAACCAAATACCATCAAAAAATTCTCCAAGGGCATTTTCAGGTCAGGGTCAAGCTTGGCAGTGCTTTCACCATCACACAACCCCAGTGTTGGCACAGATATTAGCTTGACAATCTTCTGCATGGCATTAACATTTTGGGCTGTGATATGTGGTGCACTTGCAGCCCATTCCACTGCTGTCTCCAATGATTCACCAGCATACTCCTTGGGCATCAGTGCCAATAATGGATTTGAAGGAGACAGGATGGGTTGACTCTCCATGCCATCCCAATACAGCCAGGGGGCTTGAGACTTTGCACATGGACCAAAACCTTGGAATAAATCAAGCACACTTTGCTGCAGGTCCCAGATTGTAGGGATTTAAAGTAACTTCTCCCACTCAGTTAAGCAGTTAACCTCAAGAAGCATGTCAGTGATGAATGTTTGAGAATATTTGTTAGGAGTGAGTTGCTCCCAGGGGAAAGGGGTGAAACAGAGGATATTGTGAATGTTGCAGAAGTAACTTTTCCTCTCTTCTGAAACACATCCATCAAGACCTGCATTGAGTGCAGCAATGCTTGCTTTGGGTTGAGCCAATGATGGCTTAGTACCATCAAGTTCAATGTGATAGGCCTTCAAGAAGGTCTGGAAGGTGTCCAGCCATTTGACATCACCAATGGCATCGAAGAGCAGCTTGATTTGGTCCTTCTGCTTTTTCTCCCAGTCATTGGTGAACAACTTTGCTAACCCAACCCTCACCTGTGTAAGGGCAACTCAGTGGTGGTGAAAAAGCATTGTGATAAGCTGTGGTTTGATGAATATAAAGTACACTGAACAATGACATAGTATTACCTCATTGACACAGTTTTATTGCTTCACAATGTCCTTGATGTCCAGATGGGTTTTCAAAAATGCCATAACTGCACTTATGATGCATGTCCATGCTTGATTTGCTCCACACTGGCCTGTGATGGGATACTGGCAGAGTGGAAATAACCAATCTGCCACCTATATTGAATATTTTAGTATACATGTATACTAAAATAATACAATTTTGACTCACCTCTGCAAGGGCTGGACTGTAATTGATGTCATTGCCAAAGTTGTCCTGTTTGCACACTGTGATCTTGGAAGTGTTCCAATTTCCCATGATCACAATCATGCTAAGTTCAGTAAATAGGGGGCATGGAGTGTCGAGATGCACCCTCAGTTCTTGGACTGGGTGGAAGCCATGCTGAATCCACTGTAACTTGACAATGAGATTGTCCAAAACAGGCCGAGTGACATCAGTTGGTGAAATTGAGGGAAGAAACATGTCCAGCAATTCTTGTGTTGAGCAGATGATTTCATCAAAGTATTTTGCATATGCAGAGAAATAAGTGCTTTGCTCCTCAGGCTCTTCTGTGCCAAAGAGGTGCATTGTTGCTGACAATTTTTCAGAAAAAATGGTGTTCCACTTTCCCAGGAGGGAATCAACTCCAAGTGTCTCCAACACTGTGGTTATTGGTGGCTGAGTTGGGTTTTTGAACATTCTGCCAACCTCAGCATGAATCTGCTTCAGCAGACAGATGTGATCTTCTTCAGCCAATCCATGATTGGGCACATGGTGACCCAAAATTCAATGACAAGCAGTCTGCCAGTCCTCCATTTGAATGGGGGAGGCAAGAAAGTCTAGTACTGACAGCATGGGTTTGAATATTGCCAGGAAGAGCTGCAATGGTGAAGGAATTTAGTATGCATGTATCCTAAAATTATTAATTAATTAAATTTACTTACACCTGTGAGGTGTGGATTTAAATTGTCATATATAAGTGAAACTGTCAAAAGTTTTGAGCTTTCCAGGGATGTATAAGCAAAGACTTGAGCAAAGAACTTTGCCAACTCTCAGTGAGAGATAATGAATGCAGGGCAGACAGAGTTTGCCTGCTGTGAGTCTGACCAGGAACATGCAATCTGTGTGTACATGTTTGCTTCAACATCAGATTTTCCACACAGAAGGTGGAGGAGATTCTTCAATTTTTCTGTGTCAGTGTCCACCTTTTCAGGGCATAGTCAGTTTGCTGAGAGATGAAAAAGGACAACTGATTCCTGTGGTGACTGGCAAATGAGGTCTTCACAAAAATAGTATACATGTATACTAATATTAAATATTTTTAGGAGTTACTGAGATCAAAAAATTCAACAAGCCACACAGCTTTCTGGCTCAATTTCTCATTGGTCTTCTCCAATTCCTTTGCAGCATCACCTTTCTGACTTTCATTCTGCCCCTCACAAATCATCACAATTGCATCTTGGCAGTGAACAATGTCCTTTTTGTACAAAGTTTGAATGAGTGTGACACAGTGATTACCATTGATGAGGAACATTTCCGCCCCTGGTCCTGTTGCTTTGCCACTCCATTGAATGAAGTTTTTGTAAGGAGTGAGTTGGGCAGCAGTCTCCAGTCCACCTGCAATGAATGATTGGTCAATGCCAACTTGAATGGCTTCACCCATCATATGGTTTCAAAGTCCATCTGCATTGGCATTGTTCATCATCTTCCTCACCAACAAATGTTCCAATGGGGGTTGAACACTTGACATTTCAACTGAGGCCCATGGCCCAAGTCATCACTTGTGGCAACACACATCAGCCCCCACCCAATTTGAACTTTGTTCAACAGCTTGCCAATCTCATCCATCTCCCTAGTTGCAGCCACTTCTTTTGTAACCTTGGTTGAACAAAGGTGCAAATTTAGTACACATGTATACTAAAATTATGAAAATAATTTGAAAAGAAACAAGTTGATCTCTTGCAACAGAGGGACTTGTTGAAAATTTGTGGATAACTTACTTTTGGTGTGCGAGCCTAAAATAAGAAATTAATGAATTAATTACAAATGTAATTATTTCAAAATCACTCCAGACACCTACAGCTGTGTTTGTACTCATTATTGTTTATTTGTCAAAGTTTGGTTGTATGGGTTCAAGGTGTAAGCATCACTTGGCAAAAAGTTATGGCAGTATATATACCCAATGTCACAAATATTGAAAAATGTTTGTCAATATGTACAAATATTTACACAATGACATCATGACTCAAATCCACATGTCTAAAATCAATTAGCTACAAAAATAGCCTAATGCATAGCAAACTGATGACACAGCCACAGCCTCCATTCAACCTGCCATCAAGTGATTCATTTCAAGTGGAGTTTGAAATTGAGATGCCCTGGATTACACCTTTTGCTTCATCTCTTTTTGAACTTGAACTTCTTTCTATTTCCTCCTTGCTCATTTGCACCTTCCAATTGCCATTATGCCATGCACATGTTCAAAGTGCACCATCACCTTTGAGGTGAAGAATGAATATACTATGCATCAGAAGAGATGTGCTGGTGGTAGGATGGATGGACAGATAACTGTTTTTTTTAAGGAGACAAATCAAATAGTCACTGTTACACCAAATATTCAGGGGCTATTTGATTGCTTCTGTTCCCATCATGGTTGCCCTGGAAAAAGGGGTTACACCACTGTGGAAGGTTTGAAGAAGCATATGCATAAACTGAAGACAAGATGGATAGGACAGGTAAGCATTTGTGCCATACCTTTTAAGATACATGTATATCAATATTTTATTTTATTATTTTAGGAAAAGGAGATGCCAGTGGTTAATTCCCATCTTGTCATGAAAGCTCTACCTGAGCCTGCCACTGAGCCTGCTGATGTAAGCACATAAGATACATGTATACTAAGTCAGTGACTGATGTCAGTAGGCATTGGATGGCATTGCACAGGGTCATCAATGCAATGATCCCATTGTTGTCACAGAGGCTGACCCACCCATGGAAGCAGTGAGTATCTTGACAATGTGTCCACACCCTGTCTGATGGTTGGCCAGGCATATGACAGGGATGGTTTAATACACCACCCTTACTTGGATGCCATTAACCTTGTGGTGGATCCTCAGCTGAAGGCACTGTGCCGCCTGCTATGTCAAGTTGCTTTGATTCAAAATGAAGCACTGGCACATCTGCATAACCAGCACAAGGGCTTACAGGTTGACAAGGAGCAGTTCCAACAAGTGGTTGCACAGTTGGATGTGGCAGATGACTTCCCTGAGCCCTACTTTACTCAGGTCATCTCCCCTTTCAGAGGCCTGGAGGTTTTGACAGGCATTGGTTGTGGACACTGTGCATATGCCACATCCTCTTCCAAGTGCATGCAGGTCCATCACAGGGAACACCACAGGGATACTGCCACCCCCAAGGACTGGACTGCTTGCAAGATGCAGAGATTCAGCAGGAGTGGGAAGGGATGTGTCCTGTTCCAAGTCCATGACACTGCTGCCCCTGCCTCCCCTGTTCCAGTTGATGATGCCATTAGCCATCTTAGACAACAGATGGCCCAGGCATCAACATCCAACATGCCACAGGATGAATGTGTCATCAGTCCTTGGCATTGAACAACCAGGTGGCATGAGCATGTTGCTGGCCATGATGTGTGCATGCTATGTGACCTGGTAGAGATCCCAAGATGTGATGATGATGGCTTGTTCCCTGGACTCAAGGCAGCAGTGAGGCAGTACTTCAATGAAGCACTCAACCTCCTCACCATCACTGATGAATTGGTCCTGCAACAATTGAACTTGCCAGCACCACTCAAAGAGTAAGTGATTTAAGATACATGTATACTAAATTGGTGTGCTAACATTGGACTGACAGAGGCATCAGCAACACTCCCTTCCATCACCACCAGAATGAGGACACAATGGACACTTACACTGCACCAGTCATTGCATTGCTATATATGCTGGGGCGAGTGCAGCAGGAGAATACATACAGCCTACTCTTGCCTGACAACCTCATTGAAAAGGTCACTGCCCTGGGAACAGCCATCAGAGAGGGAGTGGATGTCTCTGCCAGCCTTCACCAAGTCCTGACTGAAGTATGGATGACCAAGTGGCCCAAGACCACTGGCAATCCCATGCCCTGTCCCACAGAGCAGATGCTGGCCCTGTATACTCTGGAGGGAGATGGAAAGCACAAGGAGCCAGCTGCAGTGACATACTACCTTAGCCAGGCTCACATACTGCATTTGCTTGGTATGCCTGAAGGAACTGTGGCAACAATCAGAATCAAGATTCAATGGTGTGGAAGAGCTGGCATGTGATGAACTCCAGCCTTGGTCCACCAAGCACACCAACTCTCCATTCAGTTGCATCCAAGCACTGCAACATCATGCCTCCTCCCTTGCATTCCAAACCATGTCTCTCCCTCACATCTGGTGGACTGACAACAAACAGTGGACAGAACTGCTCTACAAGGGACACAGAGTCCACTCAAAGGACTTTTGCACCCTGTTTGCAGCCAGTGCAACATCCATTGCTGGCCTGTGGGAGCACAAGGTCCTGAGGGGAATTAAGATATGTGTATCTTATGCCAGCCTGGCAGATGACCTGGGCAACCATGATGTTGGCTACTCCTTCCTGACAGACAGGCACAACACCTGCTTTGCTGACTGTGATGCCCTAAGCAACAAGTTTATCAGTGACCACTCACTGGCTGGCCACTTTGGAGTGTGGAGGGATGGCCAAATGATCTGGGACAAGGGAGCACTGCAGCAGTGGTTGGATGACTATGCTGAATTCCAAGGGGAGCTCCTGCTATGTTGTGAAACCCTCAGTGGTGCACCAGGACATGGCACAGAACTCACCCCTCTCACTTTCTGCAACACCAGGGAGAGGACCCAACAAAATGCAGGTCATCCTGGGCCAACATGTTGCCCTATTACACTGCTACCACAAGTCAGCAACAATGACTGGTCAAGAGAAGCTCATCCCCCATGCATTGGATGCCCTGACTGCTGACCTTGTCATCCAATCCTTGGCACTTGCCCATCCATTTGCAGAACTAGCAGCATATCTCTGCTATCCACACTGGCCAGAGGTCCTGCAGCACTACCAAAGCCAACTGTTTGTCAATCATGAGTGCCTCTTCACAACTGACAATATCAGCAACTGCATGGCAAAACTTAGTCTGCAGCATCTGCCACTGAAGCTGACAGTGAACCCTTGGTGCCACATCAGCATTGCTTTCAAACAAAAGCTTGGCTAGTTTGCAGAGGAGCTGATGGAGATGGTTGAGAATGATACCATTGATGCATTGCAAGCAGGTCACTCCCATGCCACTGAAAACTGGATCTATGGTCTCAGTCCAGAGGCACTCCCTGGTGCAGCAGAAGACATCATTCTCTTGTTCTTGCAGGCAAGCATGCAATGGCAAGTGATCATGCACACAGTACCTGGGGGGGTTCAATTAGGATACATGTATACTAATCCAGGGCAGTTCCAGGAGTTGGCAAGAGCTGGGAAACTCGGCCTAGAAGCTCAGCAAGAGACCAATGGAGGCACAGCAAATGACACTGGGACCATCTCAGAAGACACAATTGCAGACAAAGTTGTTGCAAAATTGGAAGAGAGAGTCCTTGGCAATCTGGAAGCCCACCTCATGGACAAGCTAGTTGCCACTCTTACCCCAGCCATTCAGACCATTGTGCAGGATGTAGTGCAAGCTGCAATGGGTAGCAGGACTCCAGACATCCTGATGGAGCATCACAACCACACTCCTACCAATGCCAAGGGCTGGGATGAGATGTATTTGGATGCAGAAGGGCCACCACCTGTACCTGAAGGTGGAGAAAACCAACTCAAACTGAACATGAAGGACAAGGGTGGGTAATGAAAATTTAGCATACATGTATACTAATTCAATTAACTAATCCAGACACAGCAACCAGACCACAGGAGCAAGAGAATGCAGAAGAGATCCATCAATTGAAAGACAGTAAGTTAACCAACAGTGACAAATACACTTGGTATACCTGTATACTAATGATCTATGACAGTCTGGCAGAGAATGCAAGCAAGAAATGAACTTGGACCCATTCAGGAGTCACACCAGCCACAGCCTGGAACTCATGGTGGGTGACAAATAATCCCAAACACTTAAGATACATGTATACTGATTTTGTGATATATTCAGTGCCAGCACCTAATTTGGAGGATCAATGCCTCCACACTCTGCAATGAGCATTGAAAAAGCCAAGTGTGACATGGTCATCATCTTACGAAAGGGATGCAGTACTGGCTGTCATGTGCAAGAGGACAGATGTCATCACCATGCTGAAGACTGGTGGTGGCAAGTCCATGTTGGCCATACTGCTGGCCATGATGAAGCCCAATGAAGGAATAGTGGTTGACATTTAATGCACTATGACACCCTTGTGCCAAACTGGGGTGCAACCATTGGTTTAGAGATCTCTCAGGTCTTACTCAACATGTGCACATGCATCATCCTAGTTTAGGCTGTGTTCCCCCAAGTTTTGCCATCAGCACAGGGTCACCTGACCATTTGGGACAAGACTACAATGGAACAGACCACAATGCAGACATGTTTCCTCCAGCAACTGAGTATGACATTCCAACTCCCAGCCATCAAGAACTCAGTGATGTTGATGGCAATGGCAATGACTCTGACTCATTGGGCTGGGAACACAAGAGTCTAGGGCCAGTGTTCATTGGTCTTGTGGGTAGGACTTATCACAATTTTCATCCAGGTCTAAACAGTAATTTGCATATACACTATGATAACTACTTCAACTAATACCTCATCCATATCATGAAGATGTGATGCCAGTGGTCAATATCTGTCAGATGATGCACCACCACCACTGTTTGCAGAGAGGTCTTCTGATGACTAGTCCCCTTTCTGAAACTGGGTGGAATTTGAGCTTGCAGATTTTCTCTTTAGGCAGGCTGAAATGCCCACCAAAAAAATCAACACACTGCTTGAAATCTGGGCCATGTCATTACTTGCCTTATGTGGGGAACTGCTATTCACTAACCAGAAAGACCTTTATCACATCATTGACAGCACATCTGTCAGTGAGGTCAAGTGGGAGAATTTTGTGGTGTGGTACACCAACAATGGATGAGATGGATAAGACAGCAATACAGTTCCTTGGATGCTCAACAGTTACAATGTATGGTATTGAGATCCACATAAAGTCATCCACAATGTCCCTGCTCATGCTGACTTAATAGGTCAAATTGACTACATACCATACTGGGAGTATGATTCTACAAACAATCAAAGCTGCTAGGAGGATTTCATGTCAGGAGCCTGGGCATGGAACAAGGCAGTAAGTTGTGCCCACTGCAGCTTGAAATTGACACTAACTTCACAGTCCTAGGACAGAATCATTAGTGAGGATCCAATGACAGCTGGGGCAACACTAATTCCCATCAATCTTGGTAGTGACAAGACAATGGTATTGGTAGCAACTGGCCAGACCAATTATTACCCCTTGTATCTCTCCATTGGAAATGTTTGCAACACCATTCATCATGCTCACTGTAGTGCAGTAGTCCTCATTGGGTTCCTGGCAATGCCAAAGAGTATGATCCCATGTTCTATGAGTTCGTATCACTGCTAACATACCATTTAGCCACTAGAGAACATGCCAGTTCTTCTGCTTTCTGAAATTTCAAAAGGCAGCTTTTCCACTCCTTGCTAACATGCATTCTTTGTTCACTTTGACCCACCATGAGTGTCCCAGAAATAATATTATGTGGCAACAAATACTATTGGCACATCATATATGCACTAGCAGCTTATATAGCTGACTACAAAGGACAAGTTCTGTTGTCTTGTATCATATGGAATTGGTGCCTGAAGTGCCTTGCACACCAGGAGAGTCTGGATGATGATGTGCTCCATTGTCATTGTGAGCATGGCAATGCCATGATTGAAGAATTTGACTTCTGTGAACTGTGGGACATGTTTTCTTTCATTTTCTAATCAAAGACAGCCATTTACAAATGATTTCCTGTGTGCAGACATCTATGGCATGCTTTCACCAGACATCCTCCACCAGCTTAACAAAGGTGGGTTCAAGGACCACCTGGTGGATTGGGTCAAGCACTACCTAATCCACATTCTTGGAAAGACACAGGCAGAAAAAGTCTTGGACAAGATTGACCAGCAGTATGTGACTTCAACTAATATTCATATCTACTTCATGGTCTTTCAGGATCACAGCTGTTGCCCCATATACTGGACTGCAGCATTTCCCTCAAGGTCAACACTTCAAATAGTGGACCAGTGATGATTCCAAGGGCCTTATGAAGGTGCACTCATCTGTATTTTCTTCATGTGATTATTGACCAGTCATTCACAGGTTTACATTGCAGCAATTGAAGGTTATGTTCCACAATCTGTTGTCTTCACTTTTCAAGCCTTTCTGGAATTTTGTTACCTCATTCATCAGAACATTATCACTCAACAGATGCTTGTTGAAATTGACAAGGCACTCAGGTGCTTCCACCTTTATTGTGAAGTCTTCCAGAATGCTGGGGTAGTTGATACCTTCTCACTGCCCCAGCAACATGCTATGAAGCATTACTACCACCTTATCTGTCAGTTCAGTGCACCTAATGGCCTCTGCTCTTCAATTACAGAGTCCAAACATATTAAGGCCATCAAACAGCCTTATCAGTGCACTAACTGCTTTCAAGCTCTCAGACAGATGCTTTTGCTCAAGCAGAGGCTCAACAAGCTCATCACCATGCACACTGACTTTAAAGAACATGGTATGTTAAATGAACTGTTTCTATCACATGTGCTTGGGGCTCTAGGTATGAGTATTAATCCTATGATTTGCCCCTTTCTGACAGGCATTCAGGTCAATGTTCCAACAATGCTGATGATCCATGTGACCAAGTTGGGGAAAGCTGTGACATGGCTGATGAAATTGAAGAACAAGCAGGGAGTTATGAGGAGGAACTGGGTGATGCCATTGATGCTCCCAGGTTGGTTGAGGCCCATGTATCATTGGCTCATACTCATCATAGGTCTCAACCTTCCACTCTGTACATACTCAGATGCTAACTGGTTTAAATATCTTAGAATGTAAGCACACAAGGACTGTAGGCACCCTAGCAGCTGAGCTCTGTCTGCCACAGCCTCCAAACATTCTGTGCTGCTTCTACTCACAGCTCTTTCCCACTGATGATCTGGATGACATCCCCCTCAATGAGTGCCCACCATATGATGGTAGCATGCATGTCTACAACTCTGTGTGTTCCACTTTTTTTGCACCAAGCAATCTATGTGGCCTCTATGGCATGTGCCATGAGTACATTCATTCCTGCCCCATGTGGAGGAATGAAGGGCCCTGTTTCAACTGCATCTTTGTTGTAACTGATCCAGAGGCAGAGGGTATGCATGGACTGGACATTGCCTGTGTTCTGTGCTTTTTTTCATTCAAGTATCTAGGCACTTTTTATCTGTGCACTGTTGTACATTGGTCCAACTGCATGGGGGATGACCCAGACATAGCTACAGGGATGTGGATTGTCCACCCAAGTTACAATGCACACAATGTCCCACACATCACCATCATTCACATCGACACAATATATTGTGCAGCCCATCTCATCCCCATTTATGCTGCCCACAACATCAACACCAGAGACATCAAGCCTCATGACTTCTATGATATGTTCAATTCCTTCTATGTGAACAAATTTGCTGACCATCATGCATTTGAAATTGCATTCTAGCTTGCTGCAGTATGCTTGATGCATACTTGAGAACCACCTGAATCAATTGGCCATATTTACCATGTAACATTTGCTATCCAATTCCTGACCATGAGTCAAAGCAGGTTCATCTATCAAGTTGACTGGTGGTGGCCTCTACTAATTAGTATCCCAGACTCTGCACTGGATGCATACTTGTGCACCATCCAAATCAACCTGTGCATCTCTGTGTCATGTCATCTCACAGTGACTACAGTTGCTAAAGAATGCCCAAGTGACTGGTGGTCAGCTTCCTGTTGCCTGTCATATCCATGACTCTCAGACTCAATCCCAGTCCAGTCTGGACCCCTAGCCCCTAACTCCAGTCAAGTCTGGTCCTAGTCCAGCCTAGATAACCCAACTCCAGCCTGAATAACTCAAGTCTGGTGTTTTACCCCTATCTCCAGTCCACTCTGGCCTCCCAGCCTTGTGCTGCTCCACCCCAGTCCTCCCAGGTCCATGTCTGGGTCACCTGGACATAACTCCGGTCTGTTTTCCTTTGTTTGTACTATATTTAGTCTAGTCTCCTTTGCTGATCTTGCTTACTGTACAAACCTGTGTCTGACCCCAGTTATGCCAGTCACCCAGACTTTGACTATTAGTCTCAGCACAGCCTCTGTGGCTATCCTCTTGCTAATCATCTTTCTAATAGCTTATCAACAAGTCTGGCTCTATGTTTGTTATCCTGGACCAGCCTCATGTATTTAACCCCTGTACATACTTCATAGCACTCCAGTCAGAATATCAATTTAGTATTACCCTCAACTCCATATTACTCTCTGAATCTACTCTATAGCTAAGGCTGAGCCTTAAGCTATCCCCAGTCCCTGCTCTGGACCCCTCCCCAGCTTGCATAAGTGTACAGCACATAAGCTGAGACCAAGGGAGGTAGATCCAACCCCAGACTGGCTTCCCCCTGTGTGCACTCCAAGACCAATTGGTTTCCCACACTACTGGCCTTGTTCCTGTGCTCCTGGCCTTAAGTCCAGTCCTCTGGACTTAACCCCTGACCTCTGGCCTTAAGTCCGGTCTTCTGGCCTTAAATCCAGTCCTCTGGACGTAACCCCTGTCACCTGGTCTTGAAGCCTGGTCACCTGAGGGTAAACCTGTACTTAACACTGCCCCTGGTACACAAGACATCCACTGAAATGCCTATGCTAACCCATCTACACTTCCACCCAGCTTGAGTGACCCTCCACTCCTCCCTCAGTTGACTTCCACCTGCCCCTTACTTAGATCCAACTCTAGAAGTCTGGGAAATAACAATAGCCTTCATTTGCCCCCACCTCCTGTGCCTGTTAGCCATTCCTCTCCTCCATTCAGGGGTCCTCCCCCTCCTGTTTCCATCAATGAATTGTGGCATCCCATCTCTCACACCCCACTTGCCCCCATGGACATTGATTGCCCCCATCACCATGACTTCTCTGGCCCTTCCCAGGATAGTTTTGGTCATGGCCCCACTGGTCACCCATGTCTCTTGCTGCACCACCCCATCCCACAACAGCAGCTCTTGACAGAAGAACTGTGATCTTCTGCCAACCAGGATCTAGCACAGCACTCAGAGTACTTCAACTGCCCACTATGTGTCCCTTTGGGAATCTGCATCACCTGCTCCCCATCCCACTTGCCCTCACTCTCCTATTTCCACCTTCCCAGCCTACCCTCCTCCAAGTCATCAGCCAATCAGGCCAGCTCAGCCAAGCATTCCAGCTTCCCAGCATATGTTGCCTTCATATCCATGTGAGCTATGTGCAGCAGATTGTGATATAGCCTGGGATCACTGTGGTCCTCACCCAGAGCACCATTGTGACTGGGAGGATCATGACCACCATGGGTGTTCCAAATATCCAACTTTTTGAGAAGGGACTGAGGTTGCAGGGTGAACTAGAGTGTGAAAACTCAGTCTCCAAAGTAGGACAAAGTCTTTATTATTAACCACCCTAGAGTGTGAAAACTACTCAAGCTGGTAAGTAAAAGTAGGGTATAATACCACATTACCTCAGTCTTTGAAGTAGGACAAAGTCTGAGGTACAAGGAAAAATGAAGTGGCTAAATTGTATGGAAATATTATGTAAGCAGTGCTTGCTGTGCAGAACAGCAGTATGTTCCAACACACCCCCTCAGCAAGTCATGGTTTGAAAAATAAATCCATACCCTTCATGTAACACCTTGTGTAGATATGTTGTAGGTGAAGAATTTGCATTGGCAGCACTTCTGGGGCCAACATTCAAGCTGTGAGTAGCTTTGTTGTGTGGCATGGAGTTGCTGTGCACACATGCATTTGATTTGTAAGCAGTCTGTTGTTGATCATTCTGATGCACCTCCACAGCCTTGCTGACTGCATGTTGGCCCTCTACACTTGTCATCTCACCTCCTCCACCCTTGTGGCCTCTTGTACTGACACTATCCTTCCCATAGGTCGATTTGGTGTCCCAATTTTTGAGGGAGAGGCTATAGCTGGTGCAAAATGAGGGCTTGTGGTGCTTTGGAGCTAACCTGGACTTTCAAGGTGATTCCAGGCTCGGGTGCTGTCATAGCAGGCTTTGTAGATGACCTATGGCCCTAGGAGGTGGCTGGCTATGTTCTGTAGGATGGCTACTTGGTGTTTCAACCAAGGTTTGTTTAAATTTTGAGGCAAGAGCCTCTGTTCAACTGGAGCACTTATCTGGCTCCTCAGACAGTGTCAGGGACTGATCATGTTTGATGAGTGGCTTGTTTGGGCTGTCTTCAACCTTTCTAGGGATGTCCTTAGCACTGGGCATGCCTGATTGAAGATCTGGGCTCATCTGCCCCAGGTTTGTGCTTGTGCTACCAGCACCTGCAATCATAGAGGTGGCTGGTGAATCTGCATCATATTTGCTGCTTTCCCTGCTCACAGCCTGAGTGCCTACAGGTAACTTGGCTGTGATTGCTTTGTTTGACCCTGAGTAGTCACCCTCAAGAGGGATGATGCTGCACATCTCAAGCTTGTGGACACCTGGTCTGTTCTGGCAAGCAGATGCCTCCAAGGTCATTTCATCAAATGTAGAATGGTTTGTTTGTGCACTTGGAGTATGTACTGCAGGTATGACTGTGTCCATGCAGTTCTTGCTGGGCAGGATGAGTGAGCAAGTTGTGCATTCAGCTATGTGGCCTGGAGTTCATATGTTTGACATCTTGTAGCAGGCCATCTTGAGCTCAAGGTAGGTGATTAACTCTTCTGAGTTGTATTCACCCTTACCATTGGTCAAGAGGTGCTTAGGACATTCACCAGTTTTGATTTCTGCTCAGGCATGAACCTTGTTGGTCAAGTCAAGGGTCTTTTCTGACTGATGGTCTGTCCAAGATGTTGGTATGGATCCATTGAAGGCTGAGTAGGTCTGGTAGAGTGTGCCATGAGTGTTATTAAGATAGGACTTTGGTGGGGTTGAGTTGATCTGCTGTGTCTCTTCAAGACAAAGGTGATATGCTGCCATAGGATGCTGTGTGCAGTCCATAACTTCTGTTTCATCAACCATATCTGTGCTGACAAGTCTGTGTGTGGGTTTTTTACTTGCATACGAGTCTGGGCTAGAGCACCAGCTTTCATGCAAAGCTTCTGACCCTGCACATGACTCAGACAGCAAGATGTTGGAATTGCAGAATGGGAAGACAGAGTTATACAGCATGTATGAGGCATCGTTTTGGGTGCATGGTTTTGCAGCAAGTATGTAGAGTCCAGTCTTCTTATGAATAGTGACTCCAACAGTTCCCAACTGGCTTTTGACCAACTGACACTTATCTTGTTTGAAGGTGAATCATACTCCCTGACTGGTGAGGGATGAGACTGACAACAAGTTTGAGCTTAAAGATGGCACATAGTAGACATCATGTAGGATGATGTAACTTTTCTGTCTGTCTCTGAGGCCCATATCAAGAGTTATATGGCCAACTGTGACTGCATGCACAGTGTTTCCATTTGTGACTGTGAGAGGCTGTGTAGGTTCAAGCCATTTAAGTGAGGCGAACCAACTGTATTGACAGCTCATGTGAGCAGAGGCTCCAGAGTCAAGGATCCAGTGCATGCATGGAGGATGGCTGTGTGCATGTGCTAAAAAGAGGTGGAGCAGTGCATTGTACTTGGAGGATACATGCATGAACTTGGCAGCAAGTTTGTCCTTTTCCTTCTCTCCTGGCTTTCCCTTGTCATCTGATGTCATGTTTTTTGAAGCTTCATCAGCTTTCCTTTTTCAACATTCATCTTTGCTGTGTCCTCTCTTTTTGCAGTACCCACACTTGATCTTTTTTCTGTCATCATTTGCTTTTGATCTTTGCTGAGCAGATGTCCTGGAGATGAGTGCAGTTTGCCCACTGGAGGCAAGTTGATGTGACTTCTCCTCAATTAGAACCTGCAAGATCACTGAGTCAATTGACAGCTTGTCATTTGAAGACATCAAGATTGTGTGGAGTGTTGCATAGGAGGGTGGTAAGGAGATTACCATAGCAATGGCTATGAGGGAGTCATTGAGAGTTTGGCCAAGTGACTTTAGTGTGCACACTTTGTGCCACATAGTGTTTAGCTGGCTTTCCATTGGACTGTCATCTGAGAGTGTGCCATGGAACAGCTTGCCTATTAGATAGGCTATAGTCTGCTTGCCATGCCCTTTGTACTGCTGACACAACTTTTTCCAGATTTTGGCTGCTGTTGTCACATGAAGAACTCCAGTCAGGGGTTCATCTTTCAGTGTGAGTATGTTCTGGGCTCATGCCTCTTTGTCCTTTATCAACCAGTCCATATGGCCATTAGGGTCAACTTTAGGATCAGGCACTGTAGTTGTGTTTCTGCCAACAACTTCCCATAGGTCTTGTATGTCAAGCACCATGCAGATCCTTACTTTCCATGTCTGGAAATTTGAGCCATCATCTTCAAGTGATGGTATGTCATAGAGATGACTTGAGGCCTGCTTGGCTTTTGCTGACAAGAGAGCAGTGGTTGTTGAAGCTGAGGGGTTTGACATTTCATGAGCTGGAGGGTAGGGAAGATTTGTTTTTGTCTATAGTTCTGTGAGCTTTGGGCTCATAACCTTTTGAGAAGGGACTGAGGTTGCAGGGCAAACTAGAGCGTGAAAACTCAATCTTTGAAGTAGGACAAAGTCTTTATTATTAACCAACCTTGAGTGTGAAAACTACTCACACTGGTAAGTAGAAGTAGGGTATAATACCAGTAAGGAACATTACCTCAGTCTTCAAAGTAGGACAAAGTCTGAGGTACAAGGAAAAATGAAGTGGCTAAATTGTATGGAAATATTATGTAAGCAGTGCTCACTGTACAGAACAGCAGTATGTTCCAACACAACTCACCCTTTGCAGCAACCTTACTATGCCTCCTGCTCCCCAGGACCTCACCACACCCTGAGTCCCATGGAGATGTTGCCTTGCTCTGCCCATCACTCATGGCCTCATTTGGACTTGAAGCCCCCTGATGGCCCCTCCCATCAACCTTTGGGTCCTCCCAAAAGTGGGCACTGGCACTATGATCCCACCAGATTCAACACATGCAAATGTCTGGTGGAGTGAGATGTGGAGTCAAGAAGGCACTTGAGTTCAGTTGTCAACTCACCAGAGGCAGTTCCTTGCATTCCACTACATACAAATATTCACATGTCTATGTCTCCAGAGCCTTCATCAGCTGACTTGAAGAACAGGAGGAAGCAGCCACAACTGGCAAAGGACAAGGATTTGGACACACAAAGTATTGGTGGGTCAATCCCTAGTGATGCCCTGAAGAGGAAGAAGCATCAACATCAGGCCAAGGATGACTCTGGCTTACCCACTAATCTACCTGCATCATTCAAGGTTCCTTCATTCTCATCAAAGGATGGACAGCACATGACAAGTTCAAGTGGTTCTGGAAATTGTTCACTGCAGCCATCTCTGACTAGTGCCACCCCATGCCTGCCCTCTTGAGTGGTAGATGAGGATTATGATGAGGGTGTCACTGATGTGTTAGTTAACTTGTTCCAGACTCATCCTGCCAAGCAATCAGCTTCTGCACATGACAACTACAATGCAATGATGCACTCACTGACACTGTCTAATGCAAGTCACCACACCATCAATTTTCCACATGATGCTGCCCCCCATCATCAATCTATGTCATCCTCCAATGGTCCTTCACCTGCTTCATCCAGAGCATCATCCCTCAAGTGACTGCTCAGTCCTGCAATGGAGGAAACAGACAGTAAGTGCATTTGAGTTGAGAGTGTGAAGCGAGGTGGTGGTTCATCTTCTGGACAACACACCCCTGTTCCATCTCACTCATCTTGCTCCTTCCACATGCCACCCACATCACACTTGCCCAATTCTCATCCACATAACAAGAGTTGCTCAAACACTTCCAAGACAAGGGTTCTCTTTTGATGGATGCATGTATTTTGACTGTGGTGGGCACAGGTAAAGACTCAGTGAATGAGTACTTGCAGACAGTACTCAAAAGGTGTTAGAACAACCACATGGCCAACCATCTGGGACATGAACTTGAGAAGCAGTTAGGTGTTAGGTAGTATATATAACTCAAGTACTAAATGAACAGAGCCCCTGTACATATGGTATATGGCATGGAATAACACTTTCTTTACTACTACTACTACTACTACTACTATTATCTTGACTAGTTTGACTTTTGAACTTTTCAAGAAATACTATCTTGACTATTGTAACTATTTTGACTAATCCAAACTTTGTCTGTATTGAGTGTGGCTGGAAATAGCCATAATAGTCAAAATAGACAAATAATTCCATAAAAAGCACAGATAGTACTTGGTTAATTTCCTGATGCCATTCAACACATATGTGGCACTGTCTCATAGCCAAGGACATGAGACAATCTGCTTGCTAAGAGACTTCAACATACAACCTTTCACACAGCATCCAAGCAAATACTTGCAGAGAGAGGATGAACATTTGGAGAAATTGGATGTCAACACAAAGTGGTGGTGGCATGCAACAGAGTCTTCTGGAAGTGTATACAGATGGTTACAATGAGCATTGCATACAATACAGTTGAGTTAGGTGACCTGCACTACTGACATGGCTGGTGGAATTTGCCATGCAGATGTCAAAAAAGTGTCTCATTTTTGGGCTGGAGTGACCTTGTAAACAAGGTGATAAAGGTGTTGTCAATGCGATACTTTACCAGACTCATGCCTCTGTCAGTCTGCCAGGCCAAACTCCTCACTCGACCTCATCCCTGCAACCAAGACAAGGGCCATCTCCAGACAATGCTGTAGCTCTACTTCACTTACACTTTTTCCCTCTCCATGCCTGTTCTCAGGCAGATGATCACTTTGCTTGCCTATGATGCCATCTATGGCAATGCCAACTGCCCCCTCCAGTCTCACCTGCTCTGATGGGTCCAACAGACTCAAAAGCAAAGGATACACCATCCTTAGCTCCTTCTCCAACTTCCCTAACCTCGGGGGCACACCAACCATTGTGAACTGGAATGACGCTAACTGCAGCAAATGTTATGCCATCACATATGCAAAGAACACTATTAATGTCCTTGCACTGGATGTGTCAAAGGATGGGTTTATGGTGTCACCATAGGCAATGAATGTACTGACAAATGGGCAGGCAAGCACATTAGGGAGAGTGGAGGTCACTGCTATTGAGGTGCCTGCCAGTGAATGTGGCTTGTGAAAATGGGATGCAACATTTCAGTTAACCTTACAAGCGGTATGTTAGCAGGGATCAGCAGTACCTGGATTAAAAGACTGTTGTCACACACCAGATAAGAAGCCACAGGGGGAGTTCCATCAACAGCTGTCACAGACTTGATGGGCTGTTGCATCAGTGGCTGTCTTTTGAATCGCATCAGTTCCTGGAGGTGCTGAGAAACATCCCTGGAAGTGCCAATAACCTCCCCAACTGATACAGTCAAGGGGGTTGACAGAATCCAATCTACAATGGCCTTGGAACTGGTAAATTGCGAGAGGGATGAAGACAGGGATGTGGTAGTGGCAGGTTTTGACCTCTTGGACCTTTCTGCAGAGTCAGGGGCTTGTTCCAATGGCTTTGGGACAGAATCATCTTCCATGATAGCATCATCTCTAGTTCCATTGAAGGCAGGGGCATGAACATCAACTGGAATGAAGGCAGGAGCAAGTGGTGCTTTCTGTGGAGCAGGGATAGATACAGAGGATGAAAGCCTTGGAATCTGGTTCTCTTTCTCCTTGCCATGCGAACAAGGTGGGATAAGGACACTGTCAAAGGCAGCCTTTCTTTTCTCCTTGGTAATCTTGGTGGAATGATCCACAGTGGCAACAAGAGGTTCATCTTCCAACTCATAGATCTCAGCACTGGATTCTTCTTTGACGTCTTCATGGACAACAAAGTGAACCACATTGGCAGGCTGGGCTGCAGCCAGAGTGCACTCATAGGCCTGGAGGATGGTCTCTTCACCATTGCAATAAATATGCTGCCTACTGGGGTAAATAACTCAACGATTCTCATCACGTGCCAAGGAACCCTTCTGAACAAGATCATTAACTGCTTCACAATTATCAAGACCATGACCTTTGACACCACAGCCATAACAAGTGATGGTCCTCCTAGCAGGACAAGTCTGAGTGGGTGGAGTAGTGACAGGAGGAGCAGATGCAGGAGTAGGAGCAGGAGCAGGAGCAGGACGAAGAGATGGAGCACAAAGGACCTTTGCAGCATCAGGATCAATTTTAATGGCTTGATAATATAGGAGGGAGTAGTCTGGGTCACTAAGTGACTAATGAGACAGGGATTTAATCAAAGTTTCAACCTCATCCTGTTTGTGAGCAGTAGGAGCTTCTCTCTCCAAAGTTTCAAGGTTTCTTCTGGCTTCATGGGCAGGGAGTAGGGATTGAACACTATTGTCTCTGCCATCAGAGCGATGAGAAGTGCTATTCTGGGGCTGAGGAGCATTAGGGGCAGCTCTGGGGCCAAAGAAATTGAGATCATCTGCATCAAAGCAATCACGACAAAGGACCTCTTCAGCAGACTGGCACACATCTGCATAAGCGAAGGGCTTGCTGGTATCAAGGTTCGGATCCTTCAGCCTGAGATGACTCTCAACCAGGCTACAAAAAACAGGAGACAAACCAGCCCAAACATAGCAATTGTGCTCATCAACCAAGATCCTTCCCTTGTTCTTCAACCAACCACCAATGTGAATGAAACCATGATTGTAAGCCCTAAAGTCTTGAAGTGACATGATGGGCTGTAACCTAGACTCCAAAGCGAAGCTCTTGAGATGCCTTTCAAAGAATCTTTCATCTGATAGATCAGCATCAAAGTACTTGAGGAGATCACCCTTCAAGTTAGCCCAGTTAGGAGCATAGTAGTGTGCCATTCCTTCAATAATCTCCCTAACCCAAGCATTACAGTATTGGAGGATCGACTCAACCATTTCCTGGTCAGAACTGACATTATGGAAAGCACAGAGTTGTTCGTAGTGATCCAGGAAAGTGCAAACATGAGTATGGTCTCCTTGGAAGAGTTCTGGAGCAGATTTCATGCCAAGCAAGGGCAAAGTAAGGACAGAGCGAGCAGGAGGAACAGCAACAGCTGGAGGAGCTGCTGGAGGCATGGGTGGATAAACAGCAGAGGTAGTAGATGACATAGAAGTGAGATATATGGTGGATTTAAAGGCAAGATTTAAGGAGATAAGGAGGATAGGAGTTGGGACAGGAAAAGTGATAGACCCTGGTGATTATGACAACCTAGGAGGCAGGAATATGAAGGATGTGAACATGAACAAGGTTTTTCTTGATCCAGGAATGACCACCCCTCATGGTGGGCTCCAGATGTGAGTCAAAGTGTGGTTCAGTGGTGAAAACCAACTAAAACCAACACAAAAGACAAAAAGAGCAAGTGGTGGTGTGCCTATGCAGTACCTAGATGTTAGAACCTGTTCTTTGGGAGGGTTTTTGTGAGCTACAACACTCAAAGATGAGTGCTGAGGGTTGGGGGTGCTCCTGATGAAGAAGGAGCAGGAATGCAAGAGAATGCAATAGGGTAGACTGCTGTCAGCCTACAGAAGGATGGATGATGACTTAATTTGATGTCCCAAGCTGCACTGAGCTCAGGGAGGGCTTGGAGCGAAGTATATTGATGATAGACAAGGATAAGTGAAGTAGACAATAGTTAGACCCTTAATAAAGTCTCAACTATCGAAGCTGCTGAATGAATTACTGAGTGATGATAAAATGCAAGCAAGAGGGGCTCTCTCTGATGTCTTTTTTTTTTTTGCTATCTAAGTACAGTGATTTATATACAGTACAGGGGTGTTGCCCTTGGAAAACAAGGTGCAAACACTTCATAAGTGATTGGTAACTGATGAGTAAGGAATGTAAGCAATGGGTAGTCATCTTTGAAAGCATTGGTAAGCATTGGTAAGGATTAGCAAGCCAAAGGCAAAGAATCAGTAAGCAAAGTCAAAAGATTGGTAAGTATTGGCAATAGGTGAGTCAAAGACAGTCAGAATGTCAAAGTATCGAGTCAAGTAATGTCAGGAACTGGGAAAGCAGCACTGGAATCACATTAGGGGGAAGCTGTGCATGTCACATCTCAAAGAGATCACTTCTAGGCCAAGGTGGGATGACAGAGAGGCAGTGCTGATCTGATGCTGATATAGTACATCCAAAAGTGGACAGGGTGAGTCAGATGTCAACAGGGGTCAAGCTTTGGGGGTCTGTGGGGTGACAGGAGCATAGGGGATTGCAACTTTCCCCCCCAAACCATCCTCTCAGGGAAGCAAATAAAAACTTCATGAATGAGGCTCTGTTGGAAGAGAGGATGAATGGGGAGTGTCTTCTGCTGTATCTTGCAACAAGGAGGCAAGATGTGCATCATACTCATCATGGATGCGATCAGGGAGAGTGGGGAACAGTAGATTATACTGTAGCTGTTGCAATCTTGGAAGAATGATGGACAAGACTGGTATGAAGACATTGCAGGGAGCAGGGAGGAAGGATCCATATGCTTCTTGGACTGGAGAGACTGAAATGACCACATAAGACCTTTCCAAGTGAATGACAGACCTGAGGCAACCAAAGAACATCCTCCTAGAGGTCATACTGACAAAAAGAACATGCTGTCCAAGCTGGATGGGCTGAGAGGGCACAGATGAGGGTGGGATGTACCAGGATGCTTCAGGATGGAAGCTGGTAGGAACT